ACCATCAATACACACTCAGCAACTTATTTGCTTGGTGCCCATTTCAGTCTTGGGCCTGATCTTGAATCATATTCTACGTTGTTAAAATTCACAACACATGTTTACCACATTTGCAATGGTATTTCTGAATAGCTATTATTTCACAAAGCCCGTAACTGACCCATTTACAATGGAAAAAAAAAATCCACTATAAACCTGTTGGCAGCTAATTTTTAAGTTTTGCTTTATTTTAATAGAAGTAATGTTTAGAAATGACACCCATCACCCCTTCCCCCTCCTCCCAAAGGACCTGCATTTCTCTGAGAGGCGGTGGGATCCTGAAAGAACGGGCCTGAGCCATGGAGGATGCTCTCTGTCTTCAGGATATTATCCTCAAACAGCAGAGGGCCCCCTCTCACTGCTTTGGTTGATCTGTAATTCTAAAACTCTGATGCTCTCATTTATGCTAATTTTGGGCATAGTTGTCCTTTTGAAAGAATGGAAGTTTTTATATTTTAACCTAAAAACAAATGGAATGGATTAAACTTTGGAAATGCCATTTTATGTGACGGTTACTTACGTGTTCATTTAGTTTGCAGAAGGGCCCAGGTGCTAATTCGTATTTGCTGAGGGAGATCTGAGCATATTCATCTCACTCATGGAAGGTGGAGAGTGATGAGGCGTTTCTCAGAAATAACAGTCTGGGTTCTTAGGAATTTAAAATAAATATGTCTTTTACAACTGCTCATCTCATTTTTAAAATTAGTTATAAAATAAGCCATTTTGGGTTTCAGTTGAAGACAGGTTCTGGTCATTTGATGAGAGTGGTCAAATCTGGATTATATGAGGTTCGCAATTTTCCTTCCTATAGGCAAGTAGTTCAAAATAAGCAAAAAAAAAATAAAAAATAAAATTAAATGCAAAACCAGACAACTTAAGGAACACCTGGATTCTTCAGCTAGTTTGATGTTGATAATGTCAACTCGCACCAGTGAGGATCCAAGCAGGAAAGATGCGCACTCAAGAGGACTCACCTGAAGAAAACCTGCAAGGAGACCACTTGCCTAGGACTCACCGGCCAAAGAAAATGAACGCCGCTCTTGTGAATGCGGGCTGGGGCTTGGGATGGGGGCTCCCTGGCGGGGGCTGAGCGCTGGAGGAATTCCGCCAGGGTCAGGAAGATGGGAAACCGGGGGTACTAGGAAAGAAGCAGCCTAGACTCTTACTCCTCCTGCTCTCTCACTCTCGCTCTCTGGCCTCCTCCTGGTGCCTCTCCTTGCTTAGTCCCTGCCAGAAGCCAGGGGGCTGGAATGCATCTGATGCCCAAACATAGCATGTGGCTAACAGGAAACACCATGGACGTTACTACAAGTAGATGCGGCCTTCAGAGACATCTCCCCAGTGAAACATCTAAAGAACAAAACAAACGGATGAACAAAATAGAGCCAGAGACACAGACACATGGGACAGACCCTGAATCTCAGAGGGAAGGCGGGGGTGGGTGGGGAGAGATTAACCAAAGAATTTATGTGCGTATATGCTTAACCCATGGACACAATAGTGTGGTGAAGGCCTGGAGGGTGAAGGGTGGCGGGTGGGGAAGGGCAGGTGCAGGCTGGAAGGGATCAATGGGGAGAAGGGGGACATCTGAAATACTTTCAACAGTAAAGATAAATTTACTAAATAAAGTAAATAACATACATAATGCACCCAAAATATCCATTGGGATTAAAAGTGTTTAAGTCAGTTGTTTGGATTCTATAATGCATTTTCCATCCAGACTCTTAGTTAGAATAAGTGTAACCAAAGAGGTATAAGGCACTCATGAAGACTATTATAAAATGTTCTTGAAGGGTATACTTTAGGATCTGAATAAATAAAGAAATGTACTCATGAAGGATAAGAGTCAACACTATTATAATGTCAGTTTTCTCCGAATTCTTCTAGAAAGTCAATATGTTTCTATTAAAATTCCAGAAACTCTCATGCAATAAAATTCACATGGTAGACTAAAGGTCAAGATTATGTGTAATTTTTTCAGAATAGTAAAGAGAGTTGCCTTATAGATTTCAAGAGTTATTGTGAAATCATAGTAAGTTAGACAACATGATACCGTTTGTTTACAGATAGACAAAGATGCGAATGGAATTACATAAAAGCACAAAAACAGACAGGCACACACGCATTTTTATTACATGCATATACCTTCACACACTGTATGGGTGTGTGATCCAGTAATTATGTGTGTATGCCAAAGCACATGTATGGAACCATCTTTTGTAATGGAGAAACCAGACAGGAGAATGGAGTGGATAAATTGCATTATTTT